GATGTACTAAGACTAGTAAATTTACCAGAACTCGTCTAGGTAGACAAGGCCAGTGGGGCAGCCCCACCTTGCACTTTAGCCCTAGGGAAATTCTTGCCTGCCTACATTTATGCTGACAGCTGTTAAATCATTTCTGTAGCTGGCATATGGTCAATACTTATGGCTGTGATATCCTGCCCCTAGGATAAAGCAGGATCACACTCCAGCCTTCCTTGAGGGGGAAAAGGCAGGGATGGAAGGCAGGTTGGTGCTTTTAGGCAGGCCCACTCCCTCGGTAGTGAAATCTGAGCAGTCTCAAGCTTTTTTTTTTTTTTTTTTTTTTTACCATAATATGCTGAATGGTCATGATACCCCCTAGTAACAGTTTGTTGCTTAAAGGGGAAGGTAATTCCCATTCTGCCTATGGTGGCGCTGAGAGTTTGGGCATGAGCAAGGTTCCTCTTTCTGGGAAAGAAAAAGAAGGGAAAGCAGCTGCTTCTGCTTCCCTGGGAGGCTGCTGCTCTCACCTTGCCCAGGACAGCTGCGCTGGGCCATGGCAGGTGTTTGACGGACTATCCAGCACCGATGCTTACGAAGAGGGGTCAGGGAAGACAAGAAAGGGATTTACATCATGTGGAAGGTGCTACCGACATAAGTACCGCAGAGGAGGAAACACAAAAGTGCTTGAAGTAAAACTTGGTTTAATGATGATGTGGATATCACAGGGGAAGGAAGGCAGTGAACATGGATTTCTCTTTGCAGTGCCTTGAGGTATGACTGTAGTAGAGGCGAGCCAAAGGTAGATGGCACAGGCAACCCTGATGCACTGTAATTAAGATACAAACCCAATCTTCCTAATAAGTTTGTACTACACTCCCTGCCGAAACATTTCCAAGGTTTTGCTGTACTATATAGGTTATTTAAGATAACTTAAGATAACTGATAGATAAAAGAGAGGCTATCACATATTTGGAGTCTGTGATTTATAGACTAGGTAAGGTTAAGTTGCTCTGAAGTGATCTATGAGGAAGAGCAGGGGAATGCAAAAAGAAGAAATGAGAGAGTAAGTCCAATGAGCAGATCAGATTTCAACATTTTCAATTAATTTAGGGGAGGGAGAGGAACAGGGGAAAAAATCACTGTGAACAGAAATGAAAGATGGTGGAAAGAAAGGTGAAGAATGATCACCAGAAGGTAGAGGTGGCCCTAAAGTATTGATTGGAAGAGCCATGGGTCCAGGACTTCGCATACAGTGCTTAGTCAGAAGCGAGGAAAGAAGAGGCTCCAGGATCAGATGCAATGCTCAGTGTTAAAGGAGCTCAAAACTGTGCAGTTTTCTCCCTTTACATCATTGCACTCTGAAATGATGGAATATTCCTACCTGGTAGCAGGGATTTTTCACATAAAGAAAGCAGGGAACAAGCAAATAGAGATACCCAGTTTCATATTTGCTAGACAGAGTTCCTATACAGCAGAGGAAATATAATTCTCTCTTGCAGCTAGACATGGGCAGGGCATTTTTATCTGGTGGCTGAAAAATGTGTTGCCCCAAATATGTCAGCAAATTTATGAATGGATATGAGAAACCATCTTCTCGTTTTAATTGGCATACCTCGCTCTGTTTCTCTTCTTTGTAAAGACAAATTTGGTGTTAATAATTTCTTCTATTTTCTCTTATTCCCTCCTGCTGACACAGCAGCGAGCTCTGAAATAGTTATTTTACTGTGCTACATCCTTACCAGGTTTGAGAGTTAGTATCTCTGGCAGAAAAACGGAGAAAATAGAAGGATGAAGTATTAGCATTTCTTAAAGCCATTTCTTTTCTTCAGAATGTTTTCAGGGTTGGGGAATTATTGAAAGGTTTAGACAAGGGTGGATTAGAAATGGACTTCATCGGATTTTCAAATGATGCTGCAGACAACACTTCACAAGCTGAAAAGGCCATAATCCCCAGAGGGGAGAAAGGTGGGTAGGACCATTTGCTCACACTGGCATCTAAAAAGAAAAGTAAATAGATAACTTTACACCCGTGGGAGAAAGGGATATAAGGCAGGGAAAGAAAATAAAGCAAAACTCTGAACAATAAAGCAATGCATTGAGATAATAAGACCCCATCTTTAAAAAATATACTTGTATAAAAATGAAGCATACTGAGAACATGGCTATACGTCACAACATTACACCAATCAAACAAAAATGCTCCTGTAAATACCATTCTCAGCCTTACCTTAAGACAAAAATGAGGTAAAATGCATAAAGCTAACAGTTGCAGCTCAACTAATCCACACTTATTTACTCATATAAGAAATACATGTTAACTCAGTAAGCCACAGCTCTTTTCCATAAAATGGAAACTGCTTAATATGATAAGGAAAATTTCACTTGTACATTGTATACAAGTACAGCTAATTGAAAAACTTGCTTGAATGGTTTTCTGTTTTTTTTTTTTTTTTTTTTTTTTTTGGGGTTTCATAATAATGAAAATTGCTCATAGCCAAGTCAAAACATTTACTTTCAGCAAGAGTTCAACTCCTTTCTATAAATATTTTGAGTTTTATAGATCATGTTAAGATACCTTATAATTTTGTGATATGACAAGCAAGTTGTATTTACTGTTTGAAAAATTCTGGACGAGGTTATTATTTGCACTGACTACATACAGTTTATAGCTTCTTTAAATTAAAACTTTCAATTATAATATTTTAACTACTTTTGAATCCATTTTTTTTTAACAGATAATTTTGTCATTTTATCATATTATTCCAGAACAGAGATATTTTGTTGTTTATAATGGTATTTTTATTTAAGGGCATACCTAGCTATTAGAAAACATTTTTATCAAGGAGTTTTCAAGCTATGCTAAACAAGTAAGCATTGTTATTCTCTGCTGGCAAAAGTTTTTATACATCTCACTTGCTTGAACATGAAAATTATTCTGTGTTTAAGAAAGCAAGGTTGTGAAAGCAACCCATATTTATACCCATGTTTACTGCAGTTTAGTTATTTTAGTTAATGAATGCCTCAATGGAAAAATCATAAAATGGGTTTCAGTGGGCATGTCTAGGAGGAAGTAACAACCTCTACATTTTAGTAGTATTTAGGCACTTAAATATACAGCAGCTTTGAAATTCAAGGTTTCAGCATTTTATCAATATAAATCTCTCAAATATAAATTCCCACATTTAGATTTCACATTATATATTTATAAATACATATGGGTGTCTGTGTGGGCATGAATACAATTTTTTTCAACACGCCTTTCATTCTCCCTTATTTGGTTTTATAAGAAAAGCACTCCAGAGTGATCATGGCAAAAATATTATCATATTGTGCTTAAAAATTGATCTTAAAATAGGACTAGTAATAAAGTAACTGAACTTGGAAACAAACTGATTTAGAAATGACCTATTTGCACATGCTGAAAATCCATGGAATTGAGCATTCTCAGTAACTTCAGAGGAGACAGGCTTGGGTCTCACAGCTAATCAGTGAAAATAAAAGAATTATTATGTGGCTAGTGAACCAGAATTATTCCTAAATAATATCTGCAGATATTGATATTGTTTTGTAGGAAGCAAATTTCCTGTAGTTATATAAATTTTGTACCTTATGTTTAAAGAGTATATATAAATGACCATGTTTTTCCTGTCTACCTTTCAGATTTTCTCTTTTTTTAACGGTCTATTTAAACTTTGGGAAGATCCATGGAATTCTTCCCACTTTTTTAATAATAGAAGTAATGCAAAAAAAGTATTAAAAACCCAGGAATGACAGAATTTGTTTAAGATGGACTTGACATTTGTTTTGAGACAGAATTTAGAAGATAGCACTCTAAACTGACATTCAAACTATGATTTTATCTAAGATTTTATGCATAGTTATTGAAGTCTTAGACAGATTTTTCTTTAAGTAAGCCTGTGATACTACAGCTTACAGTATTTTCTTCATAAACTAACGTCCTAAGGTTTGATTTAAGTGTTGGTTACTAATATGTATGACTGCATCTTTTCTTGCAAGGCAGAGAAGATTGTGCCTCTGAGCTTGTGTTTAGGCACAACCTTTTTGTACTTGATAACCATCTAATTATATGCTATACTGCAATAAAGCTCCCAAATACTGCCGTAAAAATAAATTAGTTAAGGGTGCAGAACTAACATGAAGGTTATCATGTATCTTTTAAAATCAATTTTATTGAAATTAGGTGAATCATCCTTATGTATTATAAACTCATTTAAATCTTAAGAAATTTATGTATTTTGTTATAAGGGAGAGATGGAAGAACTGATTCTCAGGAATCTGAAGTATCTGGGTTTTAAGCTCTTAAAATCTAAACTTTGAGTTTAAAATTGTGAATGTTTTGTATATTCAGTGAAAGAAAACATTGCCATTAAACTCAAGGTAAGAAATTATTATACATTGTTTTATGTATCTTTATATAAAAAGTTACAAGTAGCAAGCATATGACACAGAAATGGAACAGTAACAGCAATAATTGTGAATGCATGCTTTTTACAATGTGTCTAATCAAGGGATTTTTGCCAACTCAAATATTCAGTAACATACATGCAGATTATTTTCTCAATGTCAAGTTCAGTCATATTGCTAGATGCTTATCCAACAAACATTTCTATTGAAGTGATTATGAATGGCTAAATACCTGATTTCAATAAATTGTTCCTGAAATTGGGAATTTTATTTGCAACCAAAAGAAGAAAGAGAGGAAGAAAAATAATAATTAGAATAATAATTAAAAGAAAAAAAAAAAAAAGAGAGAGAGAGAGAGAAAGAGAGGAAGAGAAATGACCGGTAAGTATAATAACCAAAGTCTTATTGCCTTCTAGTAATTTTACTCAACACTGTTTGCTGAATTTTGTCATGATATGAGAATAGCTGGTCAGAGAGTCCAAAAAACCTCTAGCTGGTGTTTCCAAGGTCGATAGTTTCCCATTTCTTTGTAGCATGTTCAAAATCACTCAGGAGCGCACTATTCTCAAGCAGTCTATATAATGGAAACAATGTACATATAACAAAAGTTCAATGCAAATCTTCTTTCACATATCGCACAACATACAAGTAGCTAACAAAGACATAAAACATACCAACTGATATGAAACTAAGATAACAACATCAACCACAACAACAAAAAGCTGGGACAGTCTCAGTCAGGAATTAATTTCTTCTTCAAGTTTCCAGCAAATCTCAAAACATGTTTAAAAACTAAGGAGCACTTGGTGGCCAGCAACCAAATTACAAAAGAAATATCTTATTGTGCAATGGGAATATCTTGTTGAGGAAGTAAAAAAAAAAAGTCTCTAATTCTTAGGTTTGAATAAAGGCAGTGGAATGAATTTAGAAACATGTCCACACTCTCTTTCAGACAGCTGAAATAGTTCGCTATAGATTTTTTTTTTCCATTCACAGTTCCCATGATTGTATACATAGTTCCTCTCTGAAAGCAAAACAAAATTAAAATGTTTTTCCTATAGAGAAAAATATAGACAGATATTTATCTAAACTACCTAGAAACAATAAAAGCATCTACATATTTTCTCCCAGTAATTTTTTTTAAATATATATACACATATAAACTTTATGTACATATATAAACGTGTATATATACATATCTATGTTGAAATTGATATAGAAATAATTTGTCAGACTCGGCTATCTGTAACTGTATTAACTAATTATGAAAATATGGAGATTATATATACATGGATTATTTTTTGTTGATTATTTTACACAAATTATGCAAAAATAAAGACACTAGGAAAAGATTCAATGAAAATGAAGTGTAATTTGCAAATAGCAACATTAGTACTATGGAGTCTAAGTTAACAGTACTCCCACGCACCCTTCCCCAGCACTTCACAATGCTGAACGAGTAAAATGAACTGAGAGCAGATAGTTGTACATCTTTAAAACTTGGGCTAGATTTCCAAGTTTTATATATATTTTCACATGCTGGGGCTCTAAATTTTAATCCCATAAATAAACAATAAATGAAACACCAGAGCCATGCAAAGCATCTGTCTTTATAATGTATTTAGAATGGAGATTATATGTAGCTATGGGATGATTACTGTCAAAAAAAGAGGCATTTTGCTTAGTTTCTAAGGTTAAAGTGATCATCTGTAAACAAATCCACTTCTCCCCATGCAAAGACTTATACAAGGTAGCATATAACTGGAGAACTAACAAACATTTTAACAATATAACAGATAATATGGAATATGGCTCATTTGTTGTTTAGGTATCATTACTTACCTCAGGTTTGTCTCTTAGACCCTAGTTGTGTTGTACTCAGACTCATGTTTGCTTAGAGACCCAATGAGGCAGAACCTGGAATGTTATGGCTATTTCATTCAAAATAATAATGTTTGCATAGAAAAAAAGAAATTTATGCATATAGATACTCAATAAATAGTACACCTTGATCAGTATTCATGAAGTAATTCACATCAGCATGCAATTGGCTTAAAATCATCAAATAACTACTTTTTAAAGAGACAGTAATGCCTTAGTGTGCAAAGAAAATATGGAGGTCATGTAAACAGCCACAAGAAATGCATAAATAATGCATGCAAGAGAAAACAGAAATATATATATATATAAAGATCTGAGTAGTCTTTTTCAAATAAATGGTTCATATTTGTTTCTGATTTTCTTTTTCTTTTACTTGCAAACTTTTAATCGTTCTTATTTACAGGCATTTAAAGTGCAATATACAGTAGAAATAGCTCTTGTATTAAAAATATCATGGTAGTCTTTACTTTTTCATTGATTAGAAACATTCTTTTTAACTGCATTCATGTATGTAAATGTGTGATTATTCTCTATTCACTGTGATTTCTCACAGTTTGTGATACATATATATTTATATATATGTATATGCATGTTAATATGACAAGCTGAGATATTGTGTTAATAATAGAACAATACAGTAAAGTTTTGCAAATATTGCCATTCATTACGTAGAAAACAGTGCTTCATTGGAAAAGGAGTTTGCTTATTTAAGGATAAAATTTCTTATTACTGTGGCACGCATCAAAATGGGTAAACACATTTTTTATTGATGTATTGACCTGGATATGCCAGATCAATAGTGGATGGTACTCAAGGCCACCTCTTAGTTACAATGAAACCATGTGCACATAGCTCTTTCAAAAACTATATTTGAACAAAATCTTCTATGATTTTTAACATTTTTACCTGATCTCTGCTGACCCGTGTGTGCACATGCAGGGGTATGTGTATAAATTAGTAAAAGAAAAAGAAAGATAAAAGTAGAAAGGTAAAAACTGAGATACAGAAGTGTTTTAGGGAACTAGGGTAGAGATGGGAGAAAAAGACAAAGGAAGAGAGAAATAATATAATGGTATGTGCTATCGGGAAATAGAAACTTAAATCATAAACAAAGAAGGAAGAGAATATGTCTTTACTGAATAAAGAGTGAATATGTTTGAACAATCAAGTCCTTACACATTAGTCTTCATCAAAAATCTATTGATACTGACCGCTGGACAGCTTTATCATGTCTCGACAGCCTGTGACTCGTGGTTGGTACCTCTTCAATTTCATCTATCTCACACGCATCTGCAGCATCTTGTGAGTAGCTATGCTTCATGACAAGGATATTTCTCCTGTTCATGGGTTGAATGAGGGGTTTTACAGGCTGGGGTTGTATTTCTGTCAAGACAGAAGCATCTCTTGTGCTGAGGTTACTACGGCTGCCCTTAGTGCTAGACAGTTGTGATCCACAGTGATGGTCATGAATGCATTTTGAAGATGATCTCCGCAGTTTATGATAATTTTCAAAGTCATCTGCAACATCAGCAAGGTCAGCAGTAGGCCCTGTCCCTCTAAGGGTGCATAACTCATAATGAGGAGGCTCAAAAACCTCCTGGAACACTGTTTGATCAAAGTCTGTTTTCCTTTGGACAAATTTTTTACGAGGCTGCTTGATCTGTACTATGACAGAGATAACAATGAGGATGATCACAATGCAAGAGGTCACCCCAATTATAGTCCCACTGGTATTGGTAAGTTGGTCCAATAGATTAGCTTTTCTTTTTTCTGTGTGACAGGAAAAAAAAAGCAGAGCATTAATTGCCGATTCAAGAATGAACACAACCATCATGGGTTCACAGCTTAATGCAAATTCATGGCTAGTCTATGCTTGAGTTCACTTAATCAGTCTCACTGGGGAAAAAAACAGGTAGTCAAGAAAACCAAATAAACAACACATAATTGCCCCAGACTCTCCTCTTGGAAGAATCACTTGATTTATTCAAGATGTACTATAAGCTTAATTAGATGAAAGGATTATTTAGGTTCTTTAGAAAAAGCAATTGCCATAACAAACAGATGGCTTTAATGCCATCTCAACTCCATTTGCCTGCTAAAGCCCCCAAGACTGCACAAGTTTTCTTCTTTACTTTCTGCTTCTTCCTGTACATACATGCAGCTAAGAAAATATGATCAATGAAAGAGCAAGAGTTTACTGGGTTTTGAAGGAAATTATTTGCATTGGGAACTCCTCTGAATTCCTTATATTAACTGACTGGGGCCATTGGCAATATTCAATTAAAAAACGCTAAATCAGGAGAAAACAGAAAAGTTGTTCTAATTGAGAATTTGCAAAAGAAAATAAATTGTGTGCAATTTGGATGAAGACCTATTAATTTCCAGAACATTTCAAAACACCCATTATCAAAATCCAAAAGCTGATCTTATGCACAGTTCTTTACTCAAGGACTGGTAGGAAGCTAGTCAACAAATTCTGTTTTGAGAAAGAAGAAAAAAATAAAATATGCAGTAAAATGCTACAAAGGGAATGCAATTTCTGCATAATTCTCCACGATTTGCCTTCAAGTGGCTGCAGATACATGAGATGGTAATTGAGCCTTGTAGAAAACCAAGCTGAAAGCACTGGCATCAGTCAAGACTGGCATCTGTGATTAAATTTAAACTTCCATTTTAGCATATTTTTTTCTGGCAACCTAAAACATACCAAAAAACTTAATAAAAAGCCTGTGTAGTGAAATTTATTTGCACCAAAACAGTGACATCTGTCTCCCTGTAATCAACCAGACACCAAAATTGTTTGAGTACTTTAGAGTACTCCTCCTTGACTACACTGGTAGATTAGTTGGGGGTTTCTGTAACTGCCCGGCAAAGACTCTGGGGGAGTATCTGATTTAGAAAAGGCAGCAGAGCAGCAAACAGCCTTTTTGTGGGAACCAGCAAGCCTGAAATTAAAGAAGAGAAATTTAAGCACAGGACCCAGTAGGAAAGATGCTTGGCAATGAAATGTGGAAATTAAAGAGAAAGGAAGGGTTTCTGATTTCCTCTCTGATGAAGAAGTAGAAATTAGGTAATTCTTTCCCAAATGTATCTTAGCTTTTCAAGGAATATTATTCCATGATACAGCTTTGTTTTGTTCTTTTGAAGTATGATTTAATTTACATTATACTCTATCAATGCTTGTCAGGATTTTACAGGCTTCAGCAGACTTATGGGCTGACTACTAATCCACCTCATTCTGAATTTTTTCTTGATTGGTTCCTAAATTTGGCATATCCCATGTTTCCAGGAACAAATCTGCAGTAGCAGGCTGAGGGAAACAAAAAAAAAAAAGAAAAAGGGAAAAAAAGAAAGAAGAAAAAAAAAAAGAAAAGAAAAAAGCAGAGAGTCTCCCTAGCCTAGTAATGCAAGTTAGTTAAGCTGCTTTTCTCTGAAGGCAACACAGATGATGATTTTTTAATTCAAAAACACAGAGTAATTTTGGAAACCACTGCCAACACCTGGGTAGAAACATCAATGCCTACCTATGAAATGGACATTATACCTTATTTCCTGCACTTATTTTTTTGCACTTCAGCTTCACTGGAGGATTATAGGTGGATTTGACTGCTTTTTATAGTGTCACTTCACCTGTGTTTTTTAGTGGTGCTATTATGGGCATGGCATTCAGCTAAAACACACCTGTTACCCACATGCTATTCCACATGAAGTTAATATGACAAGGGAGCCAAAAGATGATTTTTAATCACATTTTAGATTGTAGATGAAACAGAGACCAAGTGATCATAAAACCTGCCAGAACCAGAAGCATATAACGAAATCAAATTAACACCAAGCAAAATAAATGCAAACTTTGAAAGCAAAATCCGGCTTGACATATGCTGCCCCAGATTTGCTCTTTCTTAGCTTTAACCCATCTGGCATGTATTTAACAAGATACTAAGAGTAATGGTTCTGTGTCCCATGCAGCCTGATAGCTTGACAATTGCAAATCTGCACATTACCTTTGCAGTGATTTTCATCCCAAGGATACACACAATTCTGGAGTCCATTGCAGACCAAAGTATTATTAATACACATATTACTGTGGCAAAAGAATGTGTTGGCTTCACAAGGGGCTAAAAACAAGAGAGAAGGCTGATATTAAGCAGTAAATCATTCATCTCACCCAGCAAACATTACTAGAAATGATCTTACAATCTGTAAGAGGAGAAAGATATTCAACAGAGAGTCCTTCAGTGTATTTATTATTTGACATGCCGCATTAATGACACTCAAATTACACGCTGTTTATTACTCTGTGGCATAGGTTTTTCAGGTATAGGTATCTATACTCATAGGTACTCATAGGTATCTAAGCTGGATGGACTTCCTTCCAGTAGTTTGATTCTAATTGCAAAGAGCTCGTGTTAAAGTTTATTGCTATTGTTGATATTCCAGTTTTATTTGACTACTTGTCACATCCTGACTGGATGAAGATGTGCTATATCCAGAAAAAATAAAATTGTTAAAAACAATGTTCATAAGTGGGCAAAGAATTTGATTACAGGACTAGAGATTTTAAAAAGGGTAACATTTTCATCAGTGGAAGATCAGTAAAAATTAATCAGTTAATGCCATTACCTACCTCAACAAACCTTTACTATAATTATTTTTTTAAAATGGAATTTAAAAATAGCAGAACAACTTTAACTAATCTGAAAGCAGTTATGATGCTCACTTTATTAATTTTTGTACACTTCTCCATGTACCAAACCATCCAATTAGATACACTAGTTTGTAAATATTATATATTTGAAAAGTTTGTATAATAGTACATATGTTCAAATACCATATATGTTGAAAATTACTCACATATCACTACTGGTGTCTTCAACAGAAGCCTAATATTGTAAAGGGCCCCACCTGTTAAGTTCTGTTAGCTAAATTACACACTTATAAAACTGCAAATACTTACTTGTGATCATGAAATGGTATTTTCTGAGATAGCCGTACTGGCTTTACATGCATGTGTGTGTGTGTATGTGTGTGTGTGTGAACTATAACTCACATTACTTTTTAAAGGTAAGACACCATCATGAAAATTTACACAAATACTTCAAAACATATCTTTGTGACAATAGCTAGAGTCCAAGTGTAGATATTCTATGCTTACATTTGGAGTTTCACAGGCTCCTTCTGCCTGGGTCCCTGAGTGAGCTTTGCAGTCACATGGAGAGAGGACTCCAGATGCATCCATCTCCTATCAGCGACCCTTAGTAGCCACCCATTGAAAATACTTGGTAACGAGTAGGAATTACACAAGAAAAGAAGACTCAAATGACAAAATGACAAATGGAGAAAGCTTAAAGAATGACAGAGAAAGAGGTAAAAAAAACACGCTGGTAAAGGTATAAAGAAATAAAAAATGTACAGAGTGGTATGAAAGATCTTAAAAGTGAAGTGGTGGGGACAAAGTGCTGTCTCTGAGCATGCAGAACCTTTTAGATGTCTATGACTTGCCCTTGTCATTTCAAATTCTGTCTGATCTAATCCTGAATGTGACAGCAGAAAAGGATTAATAGTCCCCCAAATCCCCAAAAGAACAGAGAACAATTTCAGGGAAGAACGGATCATTATGTGAGTCATAAAAATAGAGGTTTTAAAATATATAAAGGTGGTAAATAGAAAAGGAGAAACTGGAATAAAGTAGTAAAGGAAGTGAAAGAAAGAGAAATAAAAAAAGAACTGTGCCAAACAGAGAAATAGATGACACTCAAGGCATTCAGCACTAAAAGGAATGACACGGATTTTATACAAAGTGAAAAACACCAGGAAAAAAGGACAAGAATAAGAGGTAAAAAGTAAGAGCAGTAAAAAATACTCTTTTTTTTCAGATTTTAGAAGACAGGATAATTATGCAAAGTGGTGGCAGGGAGATCTGTAAACAGAATTCAAAAGAAAGGAATAAGAAAGATAATTCCCATTTCCCTAAATTCACAATATTGAACTACAGAGGAAAGAAATGCTATATGAAGAATAAATATTAAGACTAGATGAACAGAGAACCAGAGCAATTTCTGAGTAAAAGAACAGCAAATTTAATATGAGAGAAGGCCATGAACAACTTCTAACCCTAAATAGCAAACAGCCTCCTCTCCTTTATGTTTTAAAAATTCAATATAGTCGAGTCCTGTCTGTGATCCATTGAACTCTTGAGTGATTAAGCTGGACAAGAGATCAATTTATATTTTCCCTACTAACTAGAGGTTTTTGTCAGAATGAATGAAAGCATCAAAGAAACCTGAAAGCTTGTCAGTCTCTATGTGCAATAGGGACTGACAGTAGGTCTATGTGGAATTAGCTTTTTTTTGCCCTTGAAGAGGCAAAACAAAGAAGTCTTGGGACTCTCTGTCCTTGGGACAAGGACATTCGAGTAATATCAGAAAGATAAATGAACTGACAGTAAATGGGCTTTTTTGCAGCAGGAGAGAGCCGGACCTAATCATCTCCTGAAGATGTTACAAATGCAGGAAGAGAATGGAAACTGGCAGACAAAGTCCAGGGATGCAACACTTGATAAGTTAACCTCAACCTTCAATATATAGGATAGCAATGCCTGAACACATAAAAGTTTAAACCTGAGGAAAGATTTTGAACATTATTTTTTGATAAAGAAGCCAGTGTTATGACTAACTTCAACTAGAGAAATTAGCACAGACTTAGAGGAGACAACTCTTGAAAATCAACCGGCTCTCCTCAATCCCTTATTTTTCCAGAATCATCTCCCATGGGAAAAATAAACACAGATTCCCAGCAGAAGTCCTGCTACATCAGCCTGCAGTCTTCACCATGACTAACTGACCTTTATACGAGAGAGCAGTGGGAATGCATGGAGTTCAGCCAAGATTGAAGAATGAGCCAGCTAAGAGTTTATGGGTCAGGATTAGCAGGCAAACCAACCTGGGCGATGTTGCTGTGGGTGTCTGCTGACTGCCTGATCAGGGAGAAGAAGTAGATAAGGCTTTCTTCAGACAACTGGGAGAAACGGCATGTTCACGGTCTCTAATCCTCGCAGATACTTTAACCAGACCATTATATGTTGGAGGGACAACACAGCACAGCACAAGTCTTTCAGGAGAATGGTTCAAGAACGATCCATCCTAACATGCAGGAAGTTAGGCAAAGGCGGCAGGAGGGCACATGGATGTGCGAGGATCTCCTGAATAAACTTGAACAGAAAAAGGAAGCACAGAAGTGGTGGAAGCAGGGTCAGATGATGCATCATGAATATAGACACACTCTCCAGTTGTATAGGAATGGGATTAGGGAGCTAAAGCCCACCTGGAGTTGAATCTGTTGAAGGATGTGAAAGGCAACAAGAAGAGCTTCTACCGGTCTATCAGCTGTGAGAGGAAACAGCTGGGGGTCCTGGTGGACAAACTGAACATGAGCCAGCAGTGTGCTCACATGGCAAAGGTGGCCAACTGCATCCGGAGCTTCATTAAGACTATTGGCATCAAATGAAGGGGAGTGATCCTTTGTTTAACACCGGTGAGACCACACCTGGAATGCTGGGTCATGCCCTGGGATCCCCTGGAGAATATCTCATACAAGGAGAATATAGGGAACAAGGACTGTTCAGCCTTGAGCAAAAAAGGCTTTAGAAAACCTGACCAGAAAGCAAGAGTAAAGAAAAGGAAGCCAGACTCTTCTCAGAAGGGACAGTGACAGGACAAGAGGCAGTGTTTAGTTTCACAAACTAAAACGTGTGAATTTTCACTTGTGTTTGGCAAGAAAAAAATTTTTCACTGTGAGGGTTGTAAAATGCTAGAACACGTTGCCCAGAGAGGTTATTCAGAAAATATTCAAAATCCAATTGAACATAGTCCTGGACAACCTGCTCTAGCTGACCCTACATGACCAGGGGTTTGATTTAGGCAATATCCAGAAGTCCGTGCCAACTTCAATGATTCTAAGGTTTTGTGAAAAAAGTGACTTCACAATTTGATTAAAAGTTGCATTTGGGATCATATGGTAATACTGTTTCTTCTGTGCAGCTTGAATTAAGAGCTGCCAAGGTATTAAGTGGTCTATATATTAATGAGATAACATGTTCAGTGCAATGAACAATTTCTAAGGATTATAGCACTAAGGAGCACTTTATAATTATTCATATAATTCTACCTGATATTTTGATAAGTCTTCCTTAAATTATTGGATTTTTATGGCATGAAAATACAACTCAAAAATGAAATTTATATTAAAGCACCAATTAAAGAAAAAAATTATATATACCAAAAATTATATATACCAAAAGGCATATATTGAGTTTGTATATGAACCATGTAAAATTTTCATAGAAAACTCTAGTATGTATAACAGTTATTTACAAAAAGAATAAGACTGATTTAAAACAATTCCCTTTTATATTATTTCTAAATACAGTATTTACTTTTATAAAACGTATTTGGTATGTGTAGGGATAATTTGTATGTTAATATACACATGGATTTTATACTTATTGAACTAATATATATGTAATGTCTTCTACTTTGTAACAGTTATGAGTATTGAACACAAGATGGAGCACTTACACTTATCCCAGAGGATATATAAGCAAATATGTGAACAGAAATAGAGTTGGTAACTCACTTGTTTTTTTCCTTTTTTTTTTTTTTTTTTTTTAAGGCTTAATAAAATTATACTTTTAAATGCCCTACTTCTTCTGACTGACTTGTAAATATATTTTTATTTCTGGTGGGGACAAGCTAGGTGATTGCTATAATGACCATATTTCCTGAAGGTATTATTCCCGTATTCAGAAAGTTCAGGTTTAGCATTTAAAGGTTACTATTTTCAAAAGCTATAAAAATTGAGCCAAAAGTTGTCTGTATCTTCTTCCTAGTAGAAGGCTCTCTGGCAATTAGTATAGAAACAATAGCCTATATTTTTGCATTTATTAATGAGGAGTGATCATAAATGCTTTTAATCCTGAAAAAAATCTAAGACAGAGGAACTAAAAGAGCATGAATAGTTCTTCGATATACCATATTTACAAAATAAAACCAAATAGAAGAAGTCATATTTTATATTTTTTTTCAAAAAAGACATCATTGAGACAGTAAAATAAGTGACC